AAAAATGTCTTGATTACAAAAATGCACAAAATGAGCCGGGCGGTGGTGGCGCACGCCTTTAATCCCAGCACTCGGGAGGCAGAGCCAGGCGGATCTCTGTGAGTTCGAGGCCAGCCTGGGCTACCAAGTGAGTTCCAGGAAAGGTGCAAAGCTACACAGGGAAACCCTGTCTCGAAAAACCAAAAAAAAAAAAAAAAAAAAAAAAAAAATGCACAAAATGTCTATATAAGTAAGTGATGACATATTTTTGAAGGAAATGAAAAATGTCCCGCATGTCAATTAGAGTGTTTTTACATGTAAGTTAAATTATTCAACAAAACATACCTTAAAAGAATATTTTTAGCCGGGCGGTGGTGGCGCACGCCTTTAATCCCAGCACTCGGGAGGCAGAGCCAGGCGGATCTCTGTGAGTTCGAGGCCAGCCTGGTCTCCAAAGCGAGTTCCAGAAAAGGCACAAAGCTACACAGAGAAACCCTGTCTCGAAAAACCAAAAAAAAAAAAAAAAAAAAAAGAATATTTTTAGGTCTAGGAATACAGCATTTTCTCGGCATTAATGAGGTCCTGAGTTCCATCTCAATTAATGTAAGATTAATCAATCAATCACCAAACCATAGCCTGATGCTTCAGCAAGTCAACACATTGGCCACCAAGCCTGATGACCTGAGTTCAAATTCTGGAAGCCACATGGTGAAGGCAGAGAACTGACTGCCCAAGTTGTCCCAAGATCTCTAAATACATGCACATGCATGCACACAACCAAGTAAGTAAGCGTAAACAACATTTTATGCTTTTTTACACAGCAGGAAGACTAATCTAACATGGGTGGGCCCAGGATTTGGTTAATTTGGCAACTCAAATATGCCATCAAACATTCAGGCTGTCTCTAACTTTCTTCTTCATCACTCCAGCATGGTTTTTATCCCCAGGTCTGTCCTCCCAGTTGGTAGAGCCCTCTTCACATGCATCTGTTACCTTTGTGCATCAACTTGAATAAAACCTTTCCTATGAAACTCTACTGTGTGTCCCACTGCCCTGGACTGAGTCTGTCATCAAGGGAAGATAAAGAGTACCTCAGACCTGTACAGTGTCTATTCAGAGAGAAGAGTTCCCTGCCAGTGAGAAAGGGGGCAGAGAGGAGTAACATGCTGAGGTGTAGACAACCCCAGACCCTGCAAAAAGTGTTGTAGAATATTATTTTAAGATGTGTTACTTTTGTTTATGTTTCAGAATGTTTGTTTAATGATGTAAAGATGTGTTTGATTAAGTAAAATTTATCTGCGCTCAGAAGGCTGAGTCAGCAACTAGCTGACAGGAAGTGGTAGGGAGGAGCCAGGTGAGAAAGGGTTTTTAAGGAGGGATGAGGGGAAGCATGAGGGCTCTTTGGAGGATGCAAGCAAGGAGAGGAGGTGAGCTATTTGTTATTTAGTCTCTGAAGAGCAGAATTTTATCTTAACCTTTGAATTTTGAATTTTTTAGAGGGATAGAGGTTTAGTTAAGTTTTCTCTGTAGCTTTGTGAGCCGAGCTTTCATTTCCCTCTGGCTATGGCCCTTGTGGCCTAATCACTGCTGGTAGTGATGGAGTTGCATTTGTTGATTTAGACAGCTGTGGCTTAAAAGACAGTAACCATTAAAGAAAAAAAGGACAACAATTAGTGCCCCACATTGGGCACCAATTTGTTGTTTGGGTTTTTTTTTGGGGGGGGAGGCACCACCTAGCTCCCAAATATATCATATACGGAGGCTTATTTTTAATTATGAATGCCCAACCTTAGCTTGACTTAGTTTTTAGCCAGCTTTTTAAAATTTATTTTGACTATCTTTTGTCTGGGCTTTCTTTTTTTATTTTTTTGTTTTTTAACTCTGTGACTCATTGTGTAGCTGGGTGGCTGGCCCCTGGAGTCCTTTTTTTTTTTTTTTTTTTTTTTGGCTCCTCAAGTTTAGATCTCTCCTCGCAATTTTCTCCTTTTATATATACTCTCTGTCTGCCAGCCCCACCTATCCTTTCTCCTGCCTTGCAATTGGCCAATTCTTTTTTAGATCATCAGGTATTTTAGACAGGCACAGTAACACAGCTTCACAGAGTTAAACAAATGCAACATAAGCAAAAGTAACACACCTTGAAATAATATTCTACTACAATAAAGGACTCTGTCACCATCAACTCCCATAATCTATAGGTTAGGTCTAACTGAAGCCAATAGCTGGAATGAGGTTTCCTCATGGAAGTTCATAGTAAAATTAACATATGAGAACAAAGGGCCAGGAATAGTAATACAGTTCTATGGGGAGAAAAATGAGGGGCACCTGATCTAGAGATCAAACACTTTGAAGAGTCGTGCTTGGCACAAGAGGGTCTAGGCACAGAGCCCTGTATTTTTGAAAGATGGCATGTGACACATGTGGCATTGTCTTACTTAGGTCAATGTTCCCATGATGACTAATTCTGGTTGTCAGCTTGACACACTTGGGAAGAAAGAGCCTCAGCTGAACAAGTGCCTTCACCATGTTGGCCTGTGGGCATGTCTGTGGGGCATGTGCTTGATTGCTATTCGATATAGAAGGATTTAGCCCACCACGGGCACTGGCATCCCTAGGCAGTTTGGCCTGAACTATACATATATAAAGTAGTTTAATGTAGCTCTAGCAGCAACCAGGAAGCAGAATTTCTCCATATTTACTGTTTCCAACTCCTGCCTTAAGCCTTGACTTCCCTTGAGGGTGGGCTGAAACCTGTAAGAGGAAATAAACCCCTCTCCTCCCCAAGTTGCTTCTGGTCAGTGTTTTATCATAGCAACAGAAAGCTAACTGGGAGAATTTTTCACAAAAACACAACAGCCAAACTTAGGACTCCTTTGATCAGAGTTAAAAAATCTCATGCACTCTTCTCAAACTTGAAAATAATGTGTTCTCCCAAAGGCTGTGAGTTCTAGGACTGCCCCTGGATCCCTGCCAAAAGGAAATGCATTTACGCCTTAGACCACTAGGCTGTACTGACACCTGGAAATGCATTTACGAAGCAGTTATTTCACTTATTCTTTTCAATAGATACATTGCTTCTGCTGCTTCTACCCAGGCCTCATGTCCTCCCCGGATTTGGTAATAGGCACTAATCTCTTGTCCCCAGTTCCCATTCAACTGGGTTAAGAGCCACTGTGGGAGGGATGGAGAAGTCACGAAGAATTTAAAGCAGGAGGCTGGCAGGACCAGATCTGCCTTTTATACAGATTGTTGGATCAGAAGAGGATAGGAGACAAAAGCAAAATAACACATAATCCTACCCTCAAGGGTTTAAAAGCCTACCTGAATGGGTTCTGAATACACCCAGTAAAGAGGACAAAGAAGCTATGTTTGTTGGCTTATGACCGATAGACTGGGAACTCAGAGCAGGAGGAACAGCGGCCATCATGGAAGGTGCTAGGAAGGAGTTGAGGACTGGGCTTTGCTGCTTTGGAGCTCAAGCTTCTTTATAATTAATTAACTGACTGCTCGGTGCGTGCGTGCGTGCGTGCGTGCGTGCGTGTGTGTGTGTGTGTGTGTGTGTGTGTGTGTGTGCATGTTATAGCATGTGTGGAGACTGGAGAACAAGTCTGAAGAATCTGGTCCATCTTTCCACTTCCTTGAGGCAGAGTCTCTCTTGTTTGCACTGTGCTGTGAACTCCATGCTGGCTGGCCGTGAGTTTCCAGCTGATCCTGTCACCACCTCCCTCATGACCGTAGCTCTGGGATCACAGACGCACACCGTTGGAGCCACCATTTTATGTGGATCAAACTCAGGTAGCCGGGCTTTCATGGCAAGAGATTTTACCTGCTGAATCCTCATGCCGTCCTTGAACCTCAAATTTCACACCTGTGAAAGTTGGATAATGTCCACTGCTATCTCCCAAAGCTGTTATAAGAATTAAATGATGTTCAAAAGCAAGCAAGCAAACAAACAACCCCCCAAAAACCTATCTGCGTGTGGCAGTGCACACCTTTAATCCCAGCACTCGGGAGGGAGGGAGGCAGAGGCAGGCGGATCTACAAAGTGAGCTCTAGGACAGCCAAGGCTACACAGAGAAACCCTGTCTCAAAAAACCAAAACCAAAAAGCAAAAACAAAACAAAAAAGAAAAAGAAAAATAATTAAATGATGTCTTGTATCTGTGAATTTTAATGCTTACGTATACCAACAGTACAGTGAATGGCGTTGACCCCTTTTTAACTCAGAAAAGAAGCACCAAGTCTTACAGTTGGAAGGAATATAGGAATTTCTTCCCACATTCTTGATCCAGGTGGCTGTCTTATCTCCAATTGTCCACTTTCCAGGATTTCATCATTTCTCCCTTATAAGGCTGTTCAGTCTGCTGGTGGGCTGCAGGGATTTGTTGTCCATGGGGATAAAGCCAGGCTCCCTCCAATCACTTTTCTGCTCTTGGTTTGACCTGCTGGAGCCACACAAAATGAATTCACTCCTTTCCCCATTTGACGGCATTATGGAGTTGGGAGTGGCCAGCTGTCAGGGCTCCTCTCTGGAATCAGCCGTCACAGGTTTTGGAAACGCCCCTCTTGTGACGTGATTTCCGGGACAATTCACAAATCCAGTGTTCTCCCTGGGTTGCCCACTACTTTGTCAGTATCCTCTTTAAAATCAGCATGCTACCTTACCACCAGCACCTCCAAATAGAGGAAGTGCAAGTACTCAAAATAGAGGCATTTGAAACCAAGCATGTGTGTGTGTACCATAGTGTAATATATATCTATCAAAGCCGTGTTTTCAAAGCCTGTATAACGACATGGGGAAACATTCATTATCTAATGATTCATTGGCTTAGTCACTTATTTCTTTTACAACTCAAGGGAATCAACTCCAGGGTCTTGTATGTGCCAAGCAAACTCTCTATTCTGAGCTATATCCCCAGCCCCAGTGCCAGTTTGGTTAGTGCAGAATGTAAGTGCATAAACCTCACTTCAAATAGTTCTCTCCATGTAGCTCCTTGAGGCATTAAAAAAAAAAAAAAAAAAAAGACTTCAGGGATCTATACCAAGATGGCAACAGTTGTCTACGAAGTGAACGTAAAGTGACTTTTTTCTTCTTTCTGCCATGCTGCCCTTTGTGATGATGACTGTATTCTTTCAGGACTAAAAGAATAACAAAGGTGGCAGTGCAGGGGAAACGTGGTGCCCATAGTAAGCCAGGATGCTCAGACACAGACAATAGCTCCAGTCTCACCGCCCTGCTCTCAACAAATTCCTCTCAGTCATGGAGGTCTGCTCATTTTTGTTTGTTTGTTTGTCCAGTTGTCTTTGTCTGTACCAAGAACTGTTTCTTTGGTCACGCCGGCTTTTTCTTAACTAAAATTCTTAAGACTTTTTCATGTTGTCTTGCTTCAGTGCTTCAAAGAACTGAGCTTTTTCCATTTTTTTCTTTTTTAACTGACATAAAGAACCTTTGTTTCCCTCCCATTGCATCCTGCTGTGTTTCCTTTGGCTTCTTGTTGGTAGACGCCCATCCCGCCTCTACCACACAGCAGCATGTTAGTTACTCTTCTCGCTTTGTGTCTGTCCACATGTGCAAGCCGGCATACTGTTTGTGTCACTGGGCCCAAACAAGGGCTGGTGGCATCCTGTTCAGTCCCCCTCTGAGTTAGTATGACACTGTCTGAGGGCTTCCTGGGTATGGTGGTTTGTTCAACGAGGACTTCAACCAGTCGGTCCCTCAGTCACTAGCTACCCAGCTTGTAAAAGGGTTTGTCCACAGCCTTGCTGAGAGACTTGCTAAAAAACAGTCTTGTGAGTTTTGGATACCTTTCAAAAGAGAAAAATACAAGATGATGATAGCATGGTGTGGTTTGTCTACAGAGCTTGCCCTGGCTGCTTGAGATCACCACTTCCTTTTCTAAGTGATTACAATCTCTTTAATAATGCAGGTTAGAGTTTGCTGTGGATCAAAGCTAAGCTCTGCAGTGCAGCGTTTCCCTAACCTACACATTCCTCACTTTTGACAACTCGGACATTTGCCCATCACTAATCCTTTGGCATGAATACCAAGACTTGTGCAAAATTCCTGACAAGGGCTCTCTGATTAAATCTCCAAGTTCTTTCCATCCCCAGGAACCTATCCTAGACCCAAGGTGGATACTCATTTCCGTGAAGCTTCACACCCAGGGCTGCAATTTCCTCTCCACCATGTTTATACTACCCGTTCCCCTTTGAGAATTCTTCTTGGAGACAGAGATGATGGAAGCTGAGTAGGACTTGGGTAACTCTGCTGTCCGACTGTCATCTGCTGGCATTACACCATCTGCTCCAAGTACTGGTCCTGGCTCTCCCCTCTTCTTCCTGTTCCCAATACACTTGCACAAGGCAGCCTGTGCTGTTTCTGAGCAGTTTCTGCAAGTCTCAGGCTTGTTTTGAGCCCCAGCCTTATAATGTTACGGGCCTAGGACACCCCTCCCCTTCTCCTTTAGTTATGTTCTCCTCCTTCCTTTTTGAAAACCTGAGAGTGTGCACTGGAGGGCTTCTCCGCTGGTTCAGGGTCTTCCCTTCATTTCCTAGTCAGGACCACAGGTGAATATATTGCCAGAATTTAATTTTGGAAATGTTGTTGCTTTAATATGGCCCCTGTGCTCTTATCTTTTGAAGAACACAGCAGTAAAAAGACAGAAAGAAACTCTCCAGGTTTGCTTAATATCACAGCTGTAAGTCGGGTCACATGAACAGCTGGCCCAGCACTGTGCCTTGTAGGCTGATCATGGATAATTTCCCTCGAAAAACGTGTGACAAGTGATTTTTTTACAAAAGTGTCCCTTAGTTTGCTTTAAACAAGGAAGGAAGGAAGGTTAGTTTCAGTTTATTGAGTAAGGAGGGAGAAGGGAGAGGACAGAAGTTAGAGAAAGATGGAAGCTGAAGATGGGTTTCCAGCTGCATCATCTTCGTCTTTCTAGCAATCCTTGAAGCTCTGTCCTGATGTTAGAGAAGGGAGGGGACGAAGCACAGGTTAAGTGACGTTTGATAGCACTGCTCATGACACAGTACCCAGAGCCAGGAGTCAAGCCCAGACAGTACTACTGGACTGTTCAACTCTCTTTCCTACAACACAGGCTGCTAACAGGCAGCTTGTTGGACCACTTGCCCAGAAATGTGATGCATTTCTGTGAACATTTAAGAATTCATATTTTACATCAAATTCTAGATTGATAGTTTCTTTTGAACATCCCAGGCCCCACATTTTTGCCCTGTAGGAACCACTAACATCATGCTCAATCCCTTTAGACAAGCGAATATCCCATTCTAGTTGCTGACAGTCCAGGGTGGGCACTTCCATAGCTTGGAAGACATGGAAGCAGGATGTAGTTATCAAATCTTCTTTGTATTTTTTGCTTCTTATGAACTTTTCCCTGGTTCACCGAAGCCTAGGATCACATGTTTCTTTGAGACTTGAGCCAGCACGGGTCTAGCCTGTGTGAGATACGCGAGAGTCTCTTGGCGTTGGTGGCTTCAGGGCTAGGCCCTAAAATGTTGGGGAGGAGCAAGCCAGTGTGCTCTGGGCTCTGAAACACTTCCTTGGACCCACCAGATAACTCTGTTTGAACACCGGAGCCCAACCTTCATCCACAGCACGTGGCTTCATGATACTTTTCCTATTGTTGATCCTTTCCACAGCCATAGACAAGGTCTGGGAAGCCCTCGGAGCTAAAACGCCAGTGAACTGTTTAACTCTGGGGAAAAACTGTCGTTTTCACAGCCATAGACAAGGTCTGGGAAGCTCTCGGAGCTAAAATGCCAGAGAACTGTTTAACTCTGGGGAAAAACTTCCATTTTTTTCTTACTTTAAGGATATGTCCATTTTATTTACTTACTTATTTGTAGATTTATTGATTAATGCTTATTAAAGTTTAGGAAATGAAATTTTAAAAATCAGGCATTGACATTCACTTAGGGAAAAAAAATCATTTTTGTGTCATAAAACAGGTGGTGTCCAACAGTTGCCCTATGTCAGTCATTGGACCCTATGCTTGGAATGGCTTATCAGGTTTACTCTTTAAGGCAAATTGATAAGTGGTTATCATCTAGATTTTTAAAAGGCAGAAACGGAGCCTCAGAACTAGTCATGGATCTGAGACCCAGAGCTGGAAAGTGACACTGGGTTTAGTCCCAATCCATGTCACCAGATTTGTGTTGGTATGCAGACGAAATGCCTGCTGTTATTTAATGAGGTTGGTGTTTTGTTCTGTCTGACCATGGCTGCTCAGCTTTCTGTCACTGTAACAAGCACTCACGAAAGTGAACTCAAAAGAGAGAAGAGCTTTTTGTTTTGTTGTTGTAGTTTTTGTTTTTTTGTTTGTTTTTGGCACACAGTTTTGGAGAGTTTGGTCCCTGGTGGGTTCTCTGTTACTTTGGACCTGGGATGGCATACCATGGAAGAACATGTAACAAAATAAAACCTCACTTCACAGCTGGGGAACCAAGTGACATAGTTGGGGCTCCACAACCTCCCTCAAGAACCAGCCCCGGCGATCTAAATACCTCTTCCCAGGCCGCCCCTTGAAGGTTCCATCTCCTCTCAATAGCTCTGCTGCTGTGGTTGAATACAAAATGCCCTCTACACGACTGTGGATTTGAACACTTGGTCCTCAGCTGCTGGTGCTGTGGGTCACTGGGGATAGGCTTTGAAGGTGATTGCCATCTCTAGACTCTCTCCTTGTACATGGAGGGAAGTTTCTGGAGTAAAAAGAAGCATTTTTACAAATGCTGAGTAGGGCACACCCCACAGGAACAAATCATCTTCTCTTACATTCTAGTGGCAGCCAGCCCTGGAAGGATACAAAAGTCACCCTGGGAGCATTTCTCCAGGAAATGTGTCACCTGTTTCTTTCCCAACACAGCAACTTTTTGTGTCAAAGTCTATGTATCTTAACATGGAACTCCACATCCCTGATACTCGTGTCCAGAGCACAGTCTGGTCTATATTTACTGTCTCAACTTTATGAGTTTATCTGTAGCTGAAAATTAAGGGTGTGTGTGTGTGTGTGTGTGTGTGTGTGTGTGTGTGCCTGTTTTGCCTGCATATAAGGCATTAGAGTCCCTGGAACTGGAGTACAGATGGTTGTGAGCCACCAGTTGTGAGTGTTGGGAATCAAACCTGGGTCCTCTGCGAGAGCAACAACTGTCCCTACCACTGAGCCATCTTTCCAGCTGCCTGTAGCTGAAATTTTTGAAAGACTTTTTAATGGAATATGCTGTGATGTGTTTTTTCCACCCTGAGACAAGCACCCTGGCACCAAGCCTCACACTGAGACAAGCACCCTGCCACTGAGATACACCACCAGCTTCACCCCTCACCACTGAGCTAAAGTCTTACCACCAGGTCATTTTCCTTGTAATGTAGAGCAGTGGCGGGAACCTGAGTACTCTGCTCAGAGTACTTACAGGGGCTGGAGCACCCAGGTTTTCCCCTGCACTTGGATGCATGGTAGTGTACAACCATCTGTAACTCCAGTTCCAGGAGATCAAATGGCTTCTTGACTCCTCAGGCACCACACACATACCTGGTGCACACACATACATACATGCATGCGAAACACTCATACACAGAAAACAAAATTTTAAAAATTAGGAAAAAAAATTTAAAGTTCAGTTATAATAACTTAAAACTTTGCAAAGGTTGCAGAGGCACCGGTAAATATCCCTTTCTGTGCATTAATATATTCATGCTTCCTATGTTTGCTGAGAGTTATACTTAGTATAATATCGGTGTCTTAGAGTTTCTATTGCTGTGAAGAGACACATGATTACGGCAGCTCTTATAAAGGAAAACATTTAATTGAGATGGCTCTCTTACAGTTTCAGAGGTTCAATTCAGTATCATCATGGTGGGACATGGCGGTGTGCAGGCAGACATGATATAAGATGAGTTTGAGTTTATACTATATATATATCTATTACACACACACACACACACACACACACACACACACACACACACACACATATATATATACTCATCTTGCAAAGGCTCTTCTTTCTAAGAACCCAAAGATGAAAATTACAATATTGCTGTGTGGGGTTTGTTTATTTGTTTTTGTCTTTCATGGAAGGTTTTCTCTATGTGTTGTCCTGGCTGTCCTGGAACTCCCTCTGTAGACCAAGCTGGGCTCGAGCTCAGAGACTCACCTCTGCCTCCCTATTTCTGTGTATTCCTTACTCAAACACTTCGATTAAGAGAAACATTACTGATAATGCCTTCAAAGTCATGCCATGTTCCTCCAAGAATTTATTGAGTGTCCCACCAGAACAGTGCCCACCTGCCCCTGAGCAGGGACAGGACAGAGGGCACATGAATTCATAGGGGTAAAAATCAACAGAGCATCTACACCCAAATGCCACAAAGTATTATGATGAATTGTGCACAGCACACATTTGATATGTGGGAAAGGGGGCTATTAGAACTCAGGATGTCTACAAAACACTTCCCACAGGAGAATTAGAACTCAGTGTAGCCTGAGAGCATGGCTGGGATCTGGCTGTGAGAGAAGGCTGAGGAGATAGTCCACCTTAGGGAGGTAACCTTAGCAAAAGGTCCTAGAGGACCATGCACAGGACACACACATCCTGGGAGTGACATGGGGTGCACAGATTTGTCCTCCAGAGGAACAGAAGATAACTGTAATGAAACACAGTGTCTAAATGAGATGATCCCCAAGTGTCACAGTGAGGTATCTGGATTCTAAATTAAACGATGTGATGTTCCGGGCTGGTGAGGTGGATCGACATGGAAGGAGTTTGCCCACCAACCCTGACCATCTGAGTTCAATCCCCAGACCCACATGGTGAAAGCAAAGAATCAACTTCCCCAAGTTGTCATCTGACCTCCACACCCTCGCTGGGTGGCATTTGTGTGTACACACCCATACGCATACAAAATAAACAAACACGTGACTGTAAAATAATGGGTCCTCAAAATAAAAGAGGCTAGAAAAAGTCACTGAGAGATATTGAGAACCAAGATAAGTGAGGAAAATTAGTAGGGAAATGCTTGCTGACTCATGACATAGGAGCCATGAGACCTTTATTTGACCTTCAATTTCATCTGGTCCAAAAGCCTTATTTCACAGACGGGGCCAAATTTGGGCTAAAACAAAATCAAAAGCTGCCTGTGCTCTCTGGGCTAGCGAATGGCAAAGCCAGGGCTGGAAACCAGTGTGGCGCTCTTTTCACCCCCCTTAATAAATTCAAATCTCCAGACTTAGACAAATCACGTCCCAGGTTGTTCAAAGAACTCTCAGAACCATTGTCAATAACCTTTGAAAAAGCATGGAGAATGGGAGGCCTGTTAGCAGACAAGAGAAGGACAAAGTTGTCCCCATTTTCAGAAGGGGGGAAGGGGCATATTATAAAAACTATAAGCCAGTCAGCCTGACAATTACCCCTGGCAGAATTCTAGAGCAGAATTTTAAAAAGCTATTTACTCCACAAACATTATTATAATAATAGAAACGAAGGGGAAATAACCCACAATTTCACCACTTTTAACCCATCAACTGAACAGATTATTAAGTAGACTCTTTGTACGTCTTTAGAAAAGCAGAGATCACTCGGAGCCAACCCCAAATCTCTGAAACAAAACATGTCTTCATTTATTCCTTTTTTGATAGGGATATTAGATTGGTAGAGAGAAGAGACATCAAAACTATCCTTGCTTTCAGCCTGGCCTTTGACAAGATCCATCATAATTGCAGTGTGATAAGACGGAACTGGCTGAGCGCCATGAGGACAGGCGAGGCTGGGCTGGGAATTACACCTGCAGAGTACTGATTAGTGTGTGGAGAAGCCTGAGGGAAACTGGGGGCCGTGAGCTCTCTTCTCCGCTTTCAGGAGAATATTTTTTGTCTTAGAAGGGATAGTCATCAGATTTTCGTATGACACAAAGAAGAACAGCGGACCTGAGGGCTGAGCAGGTAACTAATAACAGTAGCAAATGCTCATTGGTCACTCACTAGCTGCTATGAATTGTGGGAAATAGACATTTTCTAAGTAATTATCACATTATACTTGTAATCAACCTATGAAGAAGGTAGCAATTGTATCTCTCTCCATTTTAGAGATAAAGAAATTAATACTTGAAGAAATTAAATCTTTGGTCCAAGATCATAAACAAGGTGGGAGTGTAAGGGAAGGAACAGACTTTTGGATCCCAGCATGGTAGCAGACCTGGTACTAAACAGTTCTCAATAATTTCCACAACTTAAAACCTTATGACAACATAAGGCTTAACTCCTGTATTTTGCTTTGAAATAACTTAATGGGAAAAGGGCTTGTTGTGCAAACATGAGGCTCTGATTGTGGACCCCAGCACATGAAAAAGTTGAATGTGATGGCACAGGTCTATAACCAACCCAGCACTCGGAGGGTGAAGAGGGTGAATCTCTGGAGCTCACTGGCCAACCATTCCAGCTGAATCTGTGGACTCTGGGTTTAATAAGAAACCCTGTCCCCAAAATAACTAGAGAGCAAGAGAGGAATACACCAAGTGTTGACCTCTGGCCTCCACATACATGCTTACCTGCATGCACCACACACACACACACACACACACACACACACACACACACACACACACACACAGAGGATTTCATATATGATAGTGGGAACAGTTCTTGTCAGGACATATCCATATGAATAACACAGGAGTTTTAGTTGACCAATAGTTCTAAAGAAAAATCAGTGTGGCATAACCATGAAAGTTAACCACATTTTGGCCCCAATCGTAGAAACAGAGCAATTGACATGCCACCGTTGGCAATATGTCCAGAACATATTTTATGACAAATCAGCCACACTTTGGCTCTAAGGAAGAACATTCTAGCTCTTGGAATCATCTAGAAACTCAATGGGTTGCTTGCTTCTCTGAGTGGACAGTTTTGGTATTACTGCAAGAATTTAAACAGATTGGAGATGGGGGCGGGATTGTAATGTGGAGATTCATGCAGGTGTAGGGAAGGAGACTGAGGCCAGGCAAACTCCTTTCTGATCCCAGGTTTGTCCTCAGATGTTAATGTATCAGAGATTGGTTAGTGGTTATGGTTCAAATAGTGAATCTAGGAACCTCCAAATGACACCACAATGCACTAAAACAATCAGTACCTGAATCCAGCCAGGCACTAAGTGCGTAAGACATATTCCATATCAGAATGTAAGACTCATCACCTTTGATCATAGTAACTCAGGAAATCCTCTTGATCACCTACCTGCCTCTGAGTTTGGCAGATTTTTTTTTCTGGCCTTCTACCTCCGTTTTTTAAGAGATTTCTAGTTTTAGTTAAATATCTTTATTCTTTTTTTTTTTTTTTTTTTCGAGACAGGGTTTCTCTGTGTAGCTTTGCGCCTCTCCTGGAACTCACTTGGTAGCCCAGGCTGGCCTTGAACTCACAGAGATCCGCCTGGCTCTGCCACCACCACCCGGCTCTTTGTTCTTAAGTACACCATCAAGGATAAAGCAGCATGGCACAGCAGAGCCCTCTGGACACGGCCTTCACAAAAGCTGGGCTTGTCCATTCAGAAACACAGGAATTCTCTGGCTTATTAGAAAGTTTGTGGTTGTGGCTTGGCTGCCTCCTCCTGTCAGGAAAGTCATCGCCTGTGTGCCAGCGCCATCTTGTGTTGGAAATAAGTAAAATTTCTAACCACAGAGCAAAAGAGGCTATCCCTTTCTGTACCCAGAA